CTTCAAGTGATGGCTGGCTCACACATACTCATTTGGTTATGAAATTATGCTTCTCAGCATGGACTGTATAAGTTAGGCCACAAGTTGGCATACAACCTTGACGTTTCCTGTTAGGAATTGTAATATATATAGGACTTTTGACTGTATTGCTTATCTTGGCACACACTGGGAGATGTGGAACAGCTTTACTATTGGCCTCATTAGCTCCTTGTCCTGAAGCATGACAAGGAAACATCGGTGGCATTTTGTAAATATTTAGTCCCATGCTTTCTTTAAGGATATATGACAGCATCACTTAATAATGTTCATGCTCACCAACTGTCCTTCTTAGCATGTTATTTCACATGCTTAGTCAAAGTTTAAATTAATTTTCTCAATTAATTACTGTACCTAAATTACCACTGAATACTTTTCTCCAAATCTTGTACTCTAAGTCATATTTTAATCATTATTTTTGAAACTACTGAGAATCTAGTATTATAATGAGTCTGAAATATTGGCTTGGAAACATCCCATGCTATGTGTTGGGAAGTGGGATAGTTCAATACTGATTCCCTGGACTGACTGCCTAAAGTTCATAGTGCAAGGGGCTTTGAGGGTGCCCCATAATTCTGCATTTCACAGGTTCCTTGCATGCCCCCACTAGGATTGGAAAGCTTGAGTTGATTGAATATTTTAAAATACTCAATATAATCAATGTCTCTGACATTTCACCTCAACCTTACTTCATCTTGTACTTCCTTCCATCTCCCCAGTCTTCTCTGAAAGTTTCAGTCCTAGACAGCACAAGAATGCCTGTAAGAGCACACATCGATGCTATGGGCCTTCTTCTTTCCTGATCTAGTCCTCTGTCTCTTCACCTGGAAAAATTGTATTGACTTTTCTATGATGCATCATCCAAAGTACCCTCTATGAAGGTCTAGATAAATGTCCATATCACTTTGGACTCATATATATATATACACATATATTATATATATATATATATCTTAAATTTAAAAATAACATAATTTTCATAGTTAGGGGTATGGGTCTGTTTTCCATGATAATTGCATCTATGTACCCATCACTCATGGGACAAAGAATATTATTAATATATATTCAATAAATACCTGTTAAATTATAAGGGTAACTAATCCTCTATTTCTAAAACAGCCTCTGGAAACATGGATGGGGGAGGAAAACATTTGATATTCTTGTCATTGTCTTCTTGGGACAAACAATCACGGCATCATAACTTCCTTTAATAATATATAATAATACTGCTTAACAAAATCTTATATGTATTTTTACTCATTTTTCTTGAGATATCGTAAGAGAACATTTAGCTTTGTATAATTGACTTTGATCATATCACTTCATCAAACCATATAGGCAAGTTGAGCTTTGGGTAATATTTTCCTAAAATAATAAATTCTAGAAGTTAATATTTATATCATGATAGAAATTGAGATATTCCATTGAGTGATCTAAACTATGTTCTTATATATTTATTGCATCCTTAGTACCTGGGAAAGAAACTAGGTGATACTCTGTTAGGTAGCCCAAATGATTTCTTAGAAGGAAGTTCGAAGGTACAACATATGAAAACAATGCTCTACAATTGATACGAAGTACACACTGCAAGTCATCTGTGAGTCTACAGCATCGATGTAGCCTTCTAAGACAAGCATTCCTCTTGATCAATGTGGGCAAATCACTTCCATGTCAATAACCTTTCTCCATGTTTAGTAGGGAAGAGAGTTGCATATCAAGTGCACTTTTACAGAGTGGTCACGTTTTCTCAACACTGGTTGCTTGAGAAAAGAAAAGCCTGGCACGCTGCTTATTTCTCTGCATTTCTAGCTTCAGAAAATCATTGGAGGTATAGGGAATATCATTTGCTTATGAACACTGAATCACTGCACAACATTTCTAAACCTGTCGATGACAATGCCTTTCTACTTCCTTCAGAATGTCTCAGAGCTAAAATATCCCTGTGTCCATGGTTTTGCCCTTTATTTATTTCTCTTCCATAGTTGAGACAATCCGGGATCAGATATTTGTCTAGCTGATAACATGGCTGTGTAACTGTATTTCATGTCTAGTAACTGCTGTGTACTTACCTGCAGCATCCTGAGTTCTCCTATGCACTCACAGCTTATGTTGCAAAGTCAACAAATGAAGGACAAAGGGGCATAGGAAAAGTATGTGGATAACCAAGAAAAATCGCTTTTGATTTGATACATGTCACATCAGACCTCCAAACCTCGTCAGCTACTTTTATAGTTCTGTGGTCTTGAGAACGTGGAATGCTTCCCTATAATTCTTAGACATAGCAGCACTCATCTATCCCATTCTTGTCTAAGTTATTTGAAAGCCTCAGTTCCTGAGAAAGAGTTCCTATGGGATCTAGTCCATCCCATACCAAAGGCATGTTGCTTAGTCTCTGAGCACTCTTTAATATCTAATTTTGCATTTAGCATGAGTTTAACTTCCCAAGACAGGTTGTATATTCTTCAAGTATAAGAACCTGGCTTTATACTTCTTCATCCCCTCAAGCACATAGTACCACAAGTTTCTTGCTCATCAACCCTTCATGACACCACACTGGAATAGTGCATTTGTAAGAATTTTATATGTATTACCAGGCCATATAAAAAATAATTATGAATTCAAAGAGAGATTTACCTTTATCTATTACCTAATAATAAGGATTTTTTAAAATTATCAACTAATTGAAACAAAACAACTAAGGATTAAAAAAATAGGTTTTCATATAAACATGTGACTAGTTATCCTGGGCATGGCTTCTCTTCAGAGGATGTTAACTCACATAAAATTTTCTAAGTGGTTTAGATTTAGCAGATTAATCAAATTATATTCTTCACTAAAATAATCTGCTTAATGTACATTTATCATTAACCACGTAACTAGACATCAGATAGAGTTGCATTTTAATGCTTGAGCTAATTATTTTTCTGATTTGAATAATTCTATATCCAATTTAAAATCTATATCCTATCAATTATTCAATACTTTCCCAATTAACTAATTCTACAAAATGTATAATAAAACCTTACATTTTTTTGACAGGGATACTTTAGAGTAGACCCTTTAGATTAGGAACACCAAGGCTCAAAAAAGGCTTATTAATTTGCTTTGAGTTCAATGACTAATCAATGATAGAAAACTAACTAGACCCAAATGAATGTAACATTTTTTATACCTCATTGTCTCCTATAGAACACAATATATGTATGTATTTCAAAATTATACTTTTAATACATACCAAATGGATTAAAAAAACAGACTGAACATCACTGGCAATGAAACATGCACATGAAGATAAACAAGTGCATGCACAAGGCATTCCATGAGAAACTCTCTGATTTTGCACAAGCGCACAACACAACCGTTCTTAACTCACGAAGTTTAAAGATGATTGTGTGTTCCAAGGATTTAGAAAATATGAGCATTTCTTACCTGGCAGCTGTATGAGGGGTTGATAAAAAACATTAAAAACTTCAACTCTGATTAGACATTAGATTTTTCTGGCACTGAAGTTTTGTTTCTAACTATGCTTCAGGGATCTAGCACTTCTAATAGAAACTGGCCCAGACCCTTAAGAGGGATAACCCAACATATAAAACTTTGGCACAATTGCTACATTGCAATATTAGATTAACTGCAAGTGATTACCACACAAACCTTCCTATTGTACACTTAGGGCCCTATTTTCCTTATCTGGTCAGACATCTCTACAAGACAAATCATTTCTTTAGACTTCAAAAGATTACGTGGGGAAACAGCATTAGTACTCCATTCTCTGGGCTACCAAAGAGGCTACCAGCAGCTTTGATGCCACCATTAATTTGAGGGAGGGAGGGTTATATACACAAAACAGAGGTAATGCTGATGAAAAGGAAAAGACTTGATGTTAATCCACCCCCAGTTCTGTCTTCATCAGTGGCCACACTTGGTTAAATAGAAATGTATATACTGAAGAATGAATGATACTTTCTTTTTATATTTCATAAAATCCATGATTCACACTAGAATACATCCATTATACCCCAGTATAAAGTAGCAAGTTTTCACTATAGTCAATTCCTTTTAAAAATACAACCATATGTTTTAGCACCCTTAAAACTTTAAGCACCTCCATGAAAGTCCTTTGTCCTTTATATATGTTGATATCTTGACAGTTTTAATCATCTTAATAGGAAAGAGCCAGGAGAGAAGCAGAGAAAATTGCTCACTCCTGTTGAGTTCTTCATTCTAACTACTAAAGCATGTAAAAGAACTTATTTGTAATAATAGAAACCCAAATGAAACCAAGAACAGCAGCTTTTCACAGCTCTTAACTACCAAGAGACCCTATAAAATAGCATCAGTAATATAGCATGCAAGAACAACAATAAAATATCTATCAAATGGGGTTGTTACATCTTGGAATGGCTCTATCTTTCAGCTTGCAATAGCAATCACTTCTTTTATCATTTAAAAAAGTAAATCTTTAGTCTTTGCATTAGAGTTTATTCACCAAAAAAATATTTTAAAAACGTATTCCTTAAGTATCAGTTTTCTCATATTTTAACCCCACGATTTTAGAAAGGAAGACTGATGCTCTGGTATAATGGTATTCTGTGGCCCTGATGCCTGCCAAACCAAAAAGGTGGATCCTCCCCACTAGCCTTCTTCCAAGAAGCTCATCAAAGTATTACAAATTGATTTCATTCTTCATAGGCTGAGTTTGTCTCAATGAGAAAAAGGACTGTGAAATAAAGAAGTGAAAATACCATTTCACTTCTTAAGCTTACACCATGCTTGAAGAAAGTATCTGGGGTGTGAAATTCCTGACTCACATAAAGAATAACTTGGTCCTCTGGCCTTAGTTGTCTAAAAGTAAGTAAAGAGAGCTGGAGAGGTACTATCTTCACTCCCATGAAACCACCCCTGCCTCTAGAAATAATGTTGACAGTGAGAGAAATATTAGGTTATAAATGGAAGTTACTCACCATGGAGGAATCACTGCTTCCACTCCCGATTGGAGCTCCCTCAGCACAGGTTGGGAGGTGGGTAGTAAGTTGACTAGCCCTGCCCCCATCTATGACATCACAATCTACCTCATAAAAGGTAGTGAAAGTGCTCTGAACTCCTGTCTGATTTCCGAGAGATACAGAAAAGAGAAAGTGAGAGAGAGAGCAAAGGGGAAAAAAAAATCCATAGCCTACTTGGGAAGGGAAGAGGGAGGCATATGAAGGAATCACATGCTGAAAGAGGTAAGTGCAGGGCTCCTTGATAGTGAGCAGCCAGGCCATTTGGATTGCTTATTGGTTCTCTTGAACAGACACATGGGCTGCCTGGGAGGAGGATGAAGAAGCATCCTGCCTTATCAGGCACTGTAGGGGACAACACTTCTGGGGTCAAAGGGGATGCATCCCCTATTTAAAGCATTGAAGATCACCAAGAGCGAAAGCAAGGGCTGCAGCTCTTAAAGCCTGGAACGATTTGCAGGGATTCCAGATGCCTTTCTTGAAGGTTCCATCGCCCTGCTGTGTGACCTTCATTAAGACTGCAACTTCTTCGCATGAGAGAGTACACAGTTCTAGAGGGATACTTACCTCTGTCACTGGGCTCACTGAAGACTAACGCATTCATGGTTGCTAGAATTGCAACTCTATTTACTCTTCCTTTTTGCACCCTATGGTGGGTTGTGTGAAGGGTACAATTAAAACGATAAACCAATAACCAGTGCCTGTTTCCTCCTTTAGAACTTTTTCTTAAACTTTTCTCTGCAACATAAATATACTGACGATCTTGATTAAGTTCTTCTGTAAGTACCAAAAATATTATATATCTAAAGATGGCATATATATCTCTTCAAAACTGGAGAAAAATCAAATGGAAAGATGTCTGCGATCGCAAGATCTCCTGGACTGCCATGCTCAGAGGGAAAAGTTACGTGACCAAGTAATAATTGATTAAAGATTTGGTCACGTGCAATTTTGCTATTGTTATATAGTCATAGTTTTATTTAACCTCTGGGTTTAGTTAGTTTAGGAAAGTACAAAATATGGGATAATATGGGAAACACTAATATGCTGTGTTTTTTATTAACCAATGGATATTTGGGAGTTTAAATATTTTCGGAACTGCTCAGAGTTAGTGAGCAGGTATTATGGCAAAACAAAAGTAATGGGTGATATTGAAGAACAGACAGGTTCGGAAAAAAACATCTCTATGGAAGCCAGATCTTCATTGACCAGTAGGGAATATAAAGAATAAAAATATCTCTTTTAACAGGAAATATTTTTGGCAAAAGTAAAATATTCAAAATAATAGTTTACAATGCACAGCATCCTATTTCTACATGCAAATAAATAAAATTATTTACTTGAGATTTAAACTTTTTAAAAAACTCATATAGTCCTATTGCTAATCTTGTTATTTAAAGCTTACTATACACATATTTGTATTAAAATAGTTATAATTTAAAATAAAGCAAAATTGGAGTTTAGGTGGTTAACTAAATCAAAGCTGATTATAGATTTGGCAACATCACTCCCATCTTCCACTTAATATATAATTAAATCAATAGAAAATAAAAATATCTTCTGAATATAAAAAAAATTATGTTTTTAAAATATTATCTTTTTTTTAATTATTAGAGAAAAGGATGATGCTCTGAATATACATTCTTTGCTCTTTTTCCCCCTTCAAATATCAAGAATTCTAAGTCTAAATTGAAATTCCACATGAACATGTTCTATTGCTTAGAATTTCATAAGCAATTATCCCAATATGTTTTATTTCTCTTTGTTTACAAATTGTACAATTGATTAGTTGGTTCATGCTAATTTATTTATTTATTTTTATTTTGTAAAACTGTATGATTTATAGACTTCCTCTGATTTTCCTATTCTAAAGAATTCATTAGCCATTTATCAGTATTTCAGTTTCAAAATTGTGTGTTATGTATTAGAAGCTAACTTGAGCCTTCTTTCCAAAATGTAAAGATCATTATTTTAAGACAAAATGATAAAATTGTCCATTCTTCAATAAACACATTAACTTTTCTTATTACCCACAAAGAAAGTACACTTCTCTCAATATAAGCTTATTATGCTAAAATGGAGCTAACAGTTTTTAAAATATTAAAAAAAACTGGACTAAGATTATAATCCATTGGCCTTGATTTCTTATCCCTTCCCTGTTGGTTATTTGAAATGGAACATTACTTCAGGAGCCCAATGCAAAACTAGGCTGCATCGAAAGGACGCAGAGTGGTAAACTGTGCTGATCTTTGAGGTGAATTGAGTACGCTGGATGGTACTAGTGCCTGCAGCTATGCTATCTCAGGGAAAACAACACTGCGAGCATCAGCTCGTTACTAACTCTTCTTAGGATGTGTAGCCTCTTGACACTTGTCATGAGAATGAAGTGTTACTGATATTATGAATTTGATGATCATTTCCCGTGATATCACATAACTGGAGGAGTAGCCCTTCAAGACAAGATGTGAATGGATCCCGGGATTTCAGTAGTCAAGAGAACCTGGTATGACAATTCTGATAATGCTTTTCTTCTAACTGAAGAGATGTAGCATTGGACTCTCACTTTTTGGAATAGATTTCATGTGTTTGTTTGCTTAAGTTTTAGAATAAACGATTAAGAAAAGTCAGGTGGAATTATGAGCATATCCCAAAAGAAGAGACGCATTTACAAAGTAAGGCATCATGGAAGTCATGATCAGGCAGTTAGTGCTCAACTTGATGACAATGTTATTGCTCAGTAGACTTCTCTCAACAATAGACATTGATTCATGTTGACAGCAGCAGAATCGGATAGGAAGTTGTAACATAAAGAGACTCTAGGTAACTTTATTTTAAAGTGGAAGCTCATGTATGCCCTGGTGGGTTTCAAAGAGTACCCAGTTTTTCAAAGAGGATGCTGACTAGGACTTTTCCAGAATAATTTTTATCCCGTTTTCTCCCTTCCTTTTTTTCTCCCTCTCTCCAATAGAATTGAAGTGGATTTGCAAGTTGTAAAATAGATTTGGAAATGAAAGGTGGTGGCAGTGTTCATGATCTACAGATCTGGCAGAGCCCCGAGCCACAGTTGCAGGTAAGTTCATTGTCAGGAAGAAATCGGCACAGATGAAGGTGTCCATAGAAAAGTCATAAGAGGGGATAGTGGAACCACAGGCAAAAGATTAAAAGCCTAAATGAGGAAAGCTTGCTGTCAAGAAAACAGGATTGTGATGAAAAGGTGAAATACATTCACTGCCCAGGAGCGAAACGGCAGTTGAAGATGAGTAAGACAATGTGTTCTCAAGCAGTCAGCGACATCGGAACCAAGGCTCATCCAGCAGCCTGTCCTATTTGTAAGATACATGAGCCAGAATGTGCCACATATTTCTTTTCTAAGGTCTGTGATCCAAGTCATATTTTATGAATCATTTAAATGAGGCTGGAGAATGCACTTCAAAAAATAATCTGTTGGGATAGTCTGTAGCTAACAGTAAGCTAAGCACACTTTTATTTCTAGAATGAAGTGCCGTAAACCAAGAAAATCAGTGAGTACATGGAGGCTCAACAGACACCACACTACTGTAGTTAAGAATGCTACACTAAACTGAGACACTGAATGGGGTAAAAAGAAGGTACAATACGGAGCTTAATAAAAAACCCAGTGGATAGGAAATATTTATACTTTCTATAGAAATCATTTGGTTTTAGCAATGAAGAAACCTAAATGCCTCATTCACCTCACTATGTAGCATTGTGCCTTCTAGAGTGGAGATATTCACCCAAAAAATAATATTTTAGCATGAAATAAAACACTTATCACATATGGACAGTATCTCAAAATTGGAATATATAACATATGAAAACTTCATAAAAATATTTCTTAAATAGTTTGCCTCTGCTTCACAGATACCTTGCAATGCACGCAGCCAGCTCTGCTTGTTTCGGCACCTTATCTGCCTAATTTCTGGGTTCCCACCCATGATCACTATTCATTTCTGACAAATAACCCTAGGGATATAAAATGTAAGACACTAATTTCTAATAGATGAAGGTGTGAATTATTTGCCTTCAAGATTTTAACTAGAGGTTCTTTAAACATGGAAAATGTTTACAATCCAAAGAAAAGAAAGCTCATTGATTGAATGACAAGCAATGGCCTTTATGTTTCTGAGGCTGAGATACTTTTTGGAAAGGCCACTCCCTCTCTGTGCTCTTTAAGCAATCATATGTTCAAAGTAGAACAGCAATTACTCCTCAGCCCATGAAACACGGTGGCCCAACCAAACCAATTCAATCAGCAGATCAGACTTAGTTCAATCTGTGTCTCAATGGCAGCAAACAGGGGTGATTTCATCAGTTCCCAGGTCCGGATCTGCTAGCTCCGGAATCCTTTTTCCTTATTGTAAAATAGCATTGAAATTCTAAAGCATTTTCCTATGCATAAAACCAGTAAGACCATGATGACAAGTGTAGCATCATTGCCACGGAGCACGTAAATAAAGCGCTTGTCTGAGAACAAAGCACACTCCGATCTTCCTTGCACCACAAGGCTGCTTGAATTCAGGACCTCAGCAGTAGAGGTATCATGTGACATACACAGAACTACTATGATGCGCAACATCCAAAAACACTTCAGTTTTTAAAAAAATAAAAATTACCCTTCTCATTTATCTCCAAAAGTAATAATTTTGAGTTCACTTCATGTCACTTTTATAACACTTGGAGAAAGAATTTGTGCTGAAAAAGCACTCAAGGATAATTTCCCTCTGAGGGTTTATATAATCTGAGTTGTATAAATATCATTGACCAGGCACGCTGATACAAATAATAACTCAGGAGGGCATGCAGGAACAGGAATTCAAATAGCTATGATTTCACTCTCATAACAGGTCTAAGGTCAATTTGGGGGTGAAAAGTGAAATAGGCAAAAAAGGCGTGTGCAAAGAAATACTGCCGTTCTGCAAGTGATAAATTCCTGGTTGACTTCCCTCAGGCCACAGACTGTTGCCATGAGCCCTCTTTCCAGGTCTGTGATCTGAAGTCTCCCACCTTGTTTCTCAGTGCCATCAAGTCAATGCTGACTCACAGTGACCCTCTGCGGGGCGCGATGTTTCTGAGAGTGGTTACGG